TAGTGGGTTAAAGCCTCTGCCTTCGGCTCGGGTCATGATCCCAGGGTCCTGGGATCGAGCCCCACATCGGGCTCTCTGCTTAGCAGGGAGCCTGCTTCCTCCTCTCTCTTTCTCTGCCTGCCTCTCTGCCTACTTGTGATCTCTGTCAAATAAATAAATAAAATCTTAAAAAAAAAAAAATAAGAAAGTATCTAATAAAATGTTATTGCTATTTCCTACAAGACGCTCATGTTTCTTATATGAAGCCATTTATAATATCACCCCTATTGAGATCCTATAAAAGAAATTTAATTTGTAGTTAATTGCTCAGAAAAGCTTTAGATTCCCATGAGGATATGGAATAGTTTTTCCTCCTTACACAGAAAGAGAATCATGTAGCTGATTTGCAGCCCAGTCACAAAAAGAACCTGAATCACCATGGATGGTCTACATATTTACATTCTATTATTTTCCCTATAGTTTTTAATTTCTTTTCAAAATTATTTTTCCTTGAACCTGATTTTTAATTTCAAATATTTTATACTCAAAGTGTTTCTACTATTAAAGTGTTTTTCTTTTTTTTTTTTTTTAAAGATTTTATTTATTTATTTGACAGAGAGAGATCACAAGCAGGCAGAGAGAGAGGAGAGGAAGCAGGCTCCCTGCTGAGAAGAGAGCCCGATGCGGGGCTCGATCCCAGGACCCTGAGATCATGACCTGAGCCGAAGGCAGCGGCTTAACCCACTGAGCCAGCCAGGCGCCCCTTAAAGTGTTTCCTATGTAATGTTCCAATTCATTTATGGAATGAGTTTTTATTAATAAATAAACAATGAAGAGTTTTATCACAACCCTCAAAAAAGTGTAATACAGAATCTGATCTAAATTCTTGCTTCTCCAGAGACCATGGGTGGTGAGAGCAATATCTTATTAAACAATGGCATTTTGTGAGGATAAGGAGTAGAAACTGGAATGAACCATAAACACTGCTTGCCTTAAAACTTTTGCTTTTGCATATGGACTCACTGTAGGCTCCTAATCTTCATACTCCATGAGGTCAGAACAGTGCCTCATCTACCACTGTCATTCAGTATCTAGTATTACTAAGCTAATTCTGAAAGAATATATTTAGTTTATAACCTAAGATTCTCTCTCTCTCTATTTATTTATTTATTTGGCAGACAGAGACCACAAGTAGGCAGAGAGGCAGAGAGAGAAAGGGGGAAGCAGGCTCCCTGCTAAACAGAGAGCCTGATGTAGGGCTCGATCTTAGGACCCTGGGATCATGACCTGAGCTGAAGGCAGACACTTAACTGACTGAGCCACCCAGGCACCCCTCTCTTTTTTTAAATGATTTTATTTATTTATTTGAGAGAGAAAGTGTATAAGCAGGGGGAGGGGCAAAGAGAGGGAGAAGCAGACTCCCCGCTAAGCAGGGAGCCCAGTGCAGGACTCAGCCCTGAGGGAAAGGCAGACACTTAACAGACTGAGCCACCCAACGTCCCTCTCTCTCTCTGTCTTTTTTTTAAAGTAATCTCGCTGTTCAACGTGGGGCTTGAACTCACGATCCTGAGATGGAGAGTCATACGCTTTACCAACTAAGCCAGCCAGGCACCCCTAAAGATTCTCTTATACTGTATCTTTTAAAATCTGTGTCCTTAAAAAAATTCAACTCAATTTACCATGTAGAAATGGCTTTCCTGTCTAAAGAGAATTTCACTGAAAAAAGAAAAACATAGTTTTTTTTTGTACATACGATTCTTGCTGCAGACATGTTGCATGGCCCAAACTGCCCACAGCTGGACTCCTGGTGTTGTAAAACAGCCAAGTAATGGGAAAAATGGATTAAAGGACCTAAAATTTCAAAAGAAAAAAGTTACATACTATACTAGTGTCATTTTCTAAAGCAATAATTCCTGAGCTTTCCATTCTAGAAATTTCATCTACTATTTTCAAACTAATATAAGTGAACTATAATATACCTTTTCTTTGTGTTAGCCATTTGAGAAAGGATCGTATTCAGATAAAAGTTTTGGTATAAAAGATGGAAGGTGATCAGAATAAGGTACTAATGGAGAGAAATACTTTTTTCAAAAGTACTCTTTTGGTCTTGAAAATAAACATTTGGAGAATAGAAGACTTTGGTTTGGAAACTTAGAAAAGGAGGAGTCAGTTGATAACTAACTCGTAGAATATCATGAGGGTTTGGAATTAGCCTTTCTATTTCTCAAGGTCTTCTGCCCCAACACAGGCAGAACATTAAGTTGGGGGAATCAAAAATGTTGCCAGTATCAGCATTTATGAAGTAGAGAATAAAAGTAAGATGCAATAGTATTACTTATGTAGCAATATGGAGTATATCTGGTAATCAGTAACTTAACTATCAAGACACCTAATTGTCACAAACAGTTAGGCATCCAGTATGCAATTAAGAAATTATTACAGTTTCACAAACTAACCTGGTGCTACTTCTTTCAATGTGTCATCTTGTCTTGGACCTCTCTGCATTAATACATTATTTCTTCTTCCTAAAATCTTTTGCCCATACTTAGTTTTCTCTCAAAACTCAGCTCATAATCTACCTCCTCTGGAAGCATTTTACCACTTCCCAGTGCATTTAAGTACTCTCATCTTTAATGTCATAGAACCCTATCCATATAACTAGCTTACGAGTGAACTATATTTGATTCACATTTTATTTTTCCTCAGTAGACTGTAAGGTTCTTTTTTTTCCTTTCTTTTTCTAAGATTTATTTACTTTTGAGACAGAGAGAGCACGAATAGGAGAGGCAGGGGGAGAGGGAGAGAGAATCTCAAGCAGACTACATGCTGGCTCTGCGCAGCTCAGACTCACAACCCTGAGCTGAACACCCAACCAACTGTGCCACTTGGGCACCCCAGCTGTAAGGTTCTTGTATGTAGGCAGAATGTCTTACTCATCTTTGAATTTCAAGCACACAGAAAAAGTCCTTGGCACTTGTCTTCAATAAATGTGGAATGAAGGAAGAACTACTGAATGACATGTAGCAGAAAAAAGTAAAAATACTTTGATCTTTTAAAAAACCAGTAAAAAGATAGATGCCTGAGGGAAAATACATTATACACCTAGTAGGAATGATCTCTAAGCAAGCAAAATGACTAGGTTACTAGCTTAATACTAATTATCTTGCTAATTACCTGTATGCCACCATCTCACACTCCGGAGTTGGCCATTTCAAAATAGCTGAATGCTGCAAGACACACAAGAAAGAGCACAATATTTATTTAACACTGCATTATTGTAATATGAGCCTCTGAAAGTTTAACTACTATGAATGTTGTTTGTATGCTTCTAGAAAATACCAAACGACCCTACCAGATCATCCAGAAGAGAATTCCTCTGGCTACGGCTCAATGTCCAAGCTTGTTCACCTCTAGATATTAAATGGGCAATGATTCCAGCTGCGAAGTAACTGACTTCCACTTCAACACTATGTAAGAGGCTACTGATGTGGTCTATAAAATCCTTCCACATTAACTCAGAATGCAATTCTTGTACTTCGGCTATATTATTCTGGAAGAAAGGAGGATATAAAAATTAAAGTATTATGAACAATAAATGGCTAACTAGCCCTTTGCATTCCAAGAAGGAACTCACTGGGCTTAATAACAGTCTTCACCTTTTGTACATATGCCAATACATGTTTAAATCATTACACTTTCTGTCCCTTTTTTAAAAAAAAAGATTTTATTTATTTATTTGACACAGAGAGAAAGACAGTGAGAGAGGCAATACAAGCAGGGGGAATGGGAAAGGGAGAAGCAGGTTTCCCCGCTGAGCAGGGAGCCTGATGTGGGGCTCAATTCTAGGACCCTGGGATCGTGACCTGAGCTGAAGGAAGACACTTAACGACTGAGCCATCCAGCTTGCCCCTCTGTTCCTTCTTAGGCTTCCATAGGCAGTACATAAGAAGACCTCTGTTCACATGGGAAACAACTGATGGGTTTCCAGTTTAGACTGGTTGATCTTCCAAAAGATCTAAGATCCAACTTACTACTCTGAAGATTAATCCTAATTCTTAAAACTTCATTTGACATTTGATCTATATGAAATAGTAATTTTCTTCCTAATATGTTGATTCCATTTCTTAGGAACCAAGACTTGAACTTTTGATTGTTAAGAGACTATTCACTCCCTAGCTTAAGTCATTCTATAATAAATGAAAGCGAAAGGCATCATGTCCAAACATATACCTTGTAAGGATTAACAAGTTTTCTTCTTCAATAAGAAAAAGAGTGAGGATAGAAGAGACAAGTTTAACTTTAGAATGTGTACAATCTATTTTCCACCAGCATGAATGATTAATCATCACCCCTCTCTAATCTCACACATTTAAATAAGAAAAGACATTTCAGGTGGCTCAGTTGGTGTTTGCCTTCAGGTCAGGTCATGATTCTGGGGTCCTGGGATTGGGCCCTGAGTCAGTCAGGGTCCCTGCTTCTTCCTCTCCCTGTGCCCCTCACCATTGCTCACGCTTTCTCTGTCTCAATGAATAAACAAAATTTTTTAAAAAGTAAAGACATTTTACTTTTTTGGGGGGGATTTTACTTTTGTTTTTCATATTCTTCTATTTACATTTTTTACATAGCATTTTTATAGTGACAAAAGTAAGAAAAGAAAGAAAAAAAGAAAGAAACAAAGACCCTCTGAGGACACACTTTGAACTTAAAGCCCCAGAGAAGATGACACATCACAGTGCTAAATTACAATGGACAATGAAAACAGTCCATAATAAGTAAGAATAATCAAACACAACAGTAGATAGCTCTGAACCTCATACTGTAAGATAGTAACTGATAAAAAAAGTAAAACAAACAAACAAATGCCTCCCCCCCAACAAAGACACCACTATTAAAACAAAAAACAAAGGAAAGAGCAAAACAGAACATCAAAAGAACAATGGCCATTCTTGGGACACCTGTCTGCCTCAGTTAGGAGAGCATGCAACTCTTGATGTTGGGGTTGTAAGTTCAAATTCCATGTTGGGGGTAGAGATTACTTAAAACAAAAATAAAGTTCTTAAAAAAAAAAAAAAGAATTATGGCCATTCTTTTCTGCCATAAAGAAGTTATTAGAAAACCAGACAAACTATATGAGAGAACTGTTTTTTGATAATGGACAACAGGTATACAAGAATGTCTATACCGGAGAGAAAATATTCAAATGGGGTAGTTTCCAGGATTGCTGTGCAGGTATGGGGAGCCTAAAGAGAATCCAACAGTTTTTGCTGAATTGAGGAAACAGAGATCAGTGATCAAGATGGCCAAGGAAGCAAAAATGTGCAGAACAGAGTACTAGAAAAGATAAAGCTCCAGAAAGAAAGAAATATACCTGCAGAAGAATCCCCTTAAATGCTTGGCTGAGTATGATGCAAAGTGAAGCTCCATGAGGCTAGGAAAAGAACTACCAGAAAGAAAGCAATACATGAACACATCCCCGTATCACAGAGGGTTAGGAAGAGTACACGTTCCCACCAGGCAGAGTGAAGACATCACATAATAAACAGAGTATTGCACAGGAGTGGAGCTAAATTATGTATCAGTCCCTGGATGAAGTCTAATCTGAAGCCACTATAATAAAGCAAATAAATAAGCTTTGAAAGGAACAACTTGATCTGTGAGTAGCTCAACTGTAAGAACAAAATCTAAAACTCTTTAAAGAAAAACAATAAAATCCAGCAAAAATCAATGTAAATTCCACAATGACTGGCATCTAGCCAAAAATTACCAGGCATACAAAGAGTCATGAAAATATGATCTAAAACCAAGAGAAAAAAAATCAGTTACTAAAATGGACTCAGAAATGACAGGGATAATAGAATTAGCATACAAAGACTTAAAATAGCTACTATAAATGTTATAAATATGACTCAGGATGAAAGGAAAACATAAACCTGAAGAGAGAAAATGAAGCTATACAAAGATTTAAATGTAACTTCTAGAAATAAAAAGTATTTATATATACATATACACACACACACACATATATATATATCTCTGAAATGAAAAATATACCAGGTGAAATTAGCAGCAGATGAGATGTTGGGAGGAAAAAAACCCCTTGTGAACTAAAAAACAGCAAGAGGAAACATCCAAGCAAAAGCAGATAAAGAAAAAACAACAACAAACCTTGGGAGAAAAGCCAATAGATTACTTTGTGACCTATGAGATAATAGTAAGCAATCTCACATACTTATAACTGGAATCCCAGAAAGAGAGAGGAGAGAAGGTACCAAAAAAAAAAAAAAAAAAAGGTGTGTGTGTGTGTGTATATATATGTGTGTGTGCGTGTGTGTACTTTTTTTTTTTAATTCTTTTTTTTTTTTTAAGATTTTATTTATTTATTTGACAAACAGAGATCACAAGTAGGCAGAGAGGCAGGCAGAGAGAGAGGAGGAAGCAGGCTCCCCGTCAGGCAGAGAGCCCGACGCGGAGCTCGATCCCAGGACCCTGGGATCATGACCCGAGCCGAAGGCAGAGGCTTTAACCGACTGAGCCACCCAGGCGCCCCGTGCGTGTGTGTACTTAAAGATATAACAGCCAAAATTTTTCCAAGTTTGATGAAAATTATAAACCCAAAAATCGAACAGAAAAAAATATCCATTTTAACTCAATAATCAGCAGAAATTTAATTTTTTTTAAGAAATGTAACTTTTGAAAGTAAAAGCAAGATTCTTTTTCATACAAACAAAACCTGAGTGAAAATTCATTGCTACCATACCTACACTAAAAGATATGTAAAGAGTAGTATGAGAAATATGTGGGTAAATATAAAAGACACATTTCTCACTTTTAATTCTATTTGATGGAAGATTGATGAGGACACATACTTCTGGACAAAATGAAGTAAAAAGGGGCCAGAGTTACTCTCCTATCTGAAATAACTGAAACTGATTGAGGGCAGGAAATGATAAAAAAAAAATTTTTTTTAAGGTTTTATTTATTTATTTGACAGACAGAGAGAGATCACTGTAGTAGAGAAGTAGGCAGAGAAGCAGGCAGAGAGAGAGGGGGAAGCAGGCTCCCTGCTGAGCAGAGAGCCCCATGCGGGGTTCGATCCCAGGACTCTGAGATCATGACTTGAGCCGAAGGCAGAGGCTTAACCCACTGAGATACCCAGGCGCCGAAAGAAAGTCATTTTATAATGAGAAGGGGTCAAATGGAAGGCATAACAATTTTAACAGCTTATGAACCTAATAACAGACCTCCAAAATACATGAAGCAAAAACTGATATAACTGTGAGAAGAAATAGATAAATCAACAATTATAGTTGAAGATTTCAAAACTCCTATCAGTAATTGCTGGAACAAGCAGTCAGAAAATCAATAAGAATACTTGAACAATAACAACCAATTAGACTGACCGACATTTATAGGACATTATACCAAGAACAGCAAAATACACATTCTTCTCAAGTGCACATGAAACATTTACCAAAATAGAACATATTGTGGGCCATACACAGGTCTCAATAAATTCCAAAGGACTCAAATCAAGGTATGTTCTCTGCCCACAAAAAAATTGCTTAGAAAAGCATTTTTAAAGCTCTACAAAAGCTTTCTAAGTATTTAAAATAAGTTCTACTTTTCTTCTTATGGTGATGTGAAGCAACTTCTGTATCTAATAATCCTATGAACCCTGAATAAAACAATCAAAAACTATAATCTGCTTAACACTTCCCTATTTCAGGGCCTTTGGGTCTTTTTACATTTTCTACTTTATAAAAAACTAAAACTATAGTGAACAGATAGGTCTTCTTTAAATGTGACCTTTCCCAATAATCCATATCTCATTGTTTAGTATCTCATAGTCGTGCATCTGTAAAACAAACACTAATCTATAACTTTTTTTTACCCCCTCATCTATGCCTCCTATTATCTAATTTCTTAAGAGAAGAGGTCTGCTCTAAAATAGCTTTCACCATATAGGCACTTCTCCTGTTGCAGTGATTAAACATAATAAACATTTGCTCCTTCACCATTGCCTCAAAATCCTAGTCTATATCTAATATATTTAGGGAATGTCTAATTTGTTTAGCAGTCTTTTAAGTACTGATTATTGATTACCAAACATAGCATGTAAGAACACTTACATTACTGACATTTGAAAAAAGATTTATTTATTTATTTATTTAGATGGCGTGTGAGCGGGATAAGGGCCAGAAGGAGAGGGAGAGAGAGAATCCCAAGCAGACTCCTTGCCAAGTGTAGAGCCAGACATGGAGCTTGATCCCAAAACCCTGAGATCATGACCTGAGCCAAAATCAAGAATCTGATGCCTAACCACCTGAGGTACTCAGGTGCCCCAGTTAGTGATATTTTTTCATGAAACTTTTTTTCTGATTATAAAAGTAAAATTGCTCACAGTGAAGCTCTATACTATACCAAACCATATATAATAAAGTATGTAACTTATGTTTTTCCTTTTAATGTGGTGAAAATCCTTTTATTTTTAAAGATTTTATTTATTTATTTGACAGAGAAAGACAGAGTGAGAAAGGGAACACAAGCAGGGAGAGTGGAGAGGGAGAAGCAGGCTTCCTGCTGAGCAGGGAGCCCTATGCAGGGACCCCGATGCAGGGCTCAACCTGAGCCGAAGGCAGACGCGTAACAACTGAACCACCCAGGTGCCCCTGATGTGGTGAAAATCTTAATATATATATACGTTGTTTATAGCCTGCTTTTCTCACTTTATTATATTGTATATATTTTCTAATGTCATTAGGTGTTTACAAACACAGAAAAATTTTTTCCCTTTTTTTTTTTTGAGATTTATTTATTTGAGAGAGAGAGTGTGCCAGGGCAGGATGGCGGAGAACACAAGGGGCAAAGGGAGAGGGAGAAAAGAAACCTAAGCAGACTCTGAGCTGAGCATGGAAATCTACGTGAGGTTCAATCTTGCAACCCTGAGATCATAACCTGAGTGGAAACCAAGAAATCAAGAGTCAGTCACTTAACCAGCCGTGCCACCCAGGCACCCTGAGAAGCATTTTTCAACGTACTACCTCAGAAGGAAAATAACTGATTACAGCTTGGAATTTAGCAGGAAATGTTTATATGTTTTTATCTTACCAAAAGTCCTAGGACTTTCTGTTGAATGGATGACTCAGTTGGGAAAGACTGTAAAAAAAAGAGAAACCTGTAACTACCTAAATAACCAAATATAATAAATGAATACTTAAAATCAATCAATGTCAAAACTATAGGCTAAATTCCCATTCTAACCTCTAGAACCCGCATGAAGAGTTCTAACCCTTGGTTTTCAATAAAATGTCTGCAAGTGGTTGGAGATTCATCTGTGAGGTTCCAAAGTGCACTCAAAGTAAACTTCAAAGTAGTGTCCACTGAATTTTGATTGGTTTTCTGCTTCACTATTTGAAGAAGTTGCTGAAAGAAAGATAATAGAATGAATTTCTCATCACAAAACTGTTATTGTAATTAGTGGTGGTAATCACAAGTCATGAAGATTGGTCTCGTGGCTTAAAACATTTCCTATAAAAGTTTTTTAAAAGTACAACAAACATCTTCTTTGGTCAGGCTTTTTCCTTCAACAAAAAAAAGTACAGGATCTTCAAAAATATTTTATTATTCTGATGATACCTATAATCTAGTACCCTGTAAATAAAATAAAAAGCAAACCATTTAAAGCTTAGGAAAACTATCTTACCCAATTAGTCACAACATTTAGATCCTGGGATAAGAAAAGTAGAGGTGGAGAAGGGGAAAGGAAGCTAACATTTATTAAGTATCAGCAAATTATATCCTATATTATAGTATTGTTATTCAGGAGAGGAAATGTAGCCTGAGAAATATTAAGTAATTTGATCATAGTCAACTTAGTAAGAGAAAATAAGAGTTGGAAGACCTAATTCTATCGAAATCCAAGTCTTCCTTAAGGAAAAAAAGAACAAACAAATTACATGCAATAGTAAGAGAATCAAAGTCTATACTGGAATTGAATAAGATAATAGCTTTGAAATTCCATTTGTAAATTATTTCTGTCATAGCCATAACCCAAGAAATTTAAGTCTTAAAGATAAATGTTTTGAGACCTAGATAAGGCATCCATAATTCCATTTTTTGATTATAGTTTTGGGGGTAAAAGGGAGCTCTGCTCAAACAGATACAAGAAAATATCTAAAGTTACACACAGTTCAGGAAAAAAATTTTTTAGAAGTAAAATCATCTCAGGGGAATTAATAAACATTAAGTGGCTAAGAACGTGGCACTAGAATCTGCATCTGTGTAACCTTGTTTGGCAATTTATTCCTTTGTTTCCTCATCTGTAAATTGTGGGTGATAATCAAGAGATTAAATAAAGGCTAGTCATCATCACTACTACCACTACTACTGCTACTAATTCCTGCTTAAACTAAGTTTAATTTTCCCCCAAAGCATATAAGTGAATTACTTCCTTAAAATCTTTGAATGTATCTCCAACCAAAACTACTGAAACACATGTATAACAATGAAAAGCCATATTTAAAACTAAAGTGTCATCCCTGAAAATAGTAAAAAATAAATAAAATCAGCATCCCTTCTTATCTAACATGTATTTATTTTGTGCAAAGCACTTAGCATATATTACTTCAAATAAAAAAAAATTTTTTTTTAAAGTAAGCTCCATGCCCAATGTAGGGCTTGAACTCACGACCTGAGATCAAGCATTGCATGCTCTACCAACTGAGCCAGCCAGGCGCCTCCCCTTAAATTAATCTTATTTTCCTTTTCTTTTTTTTTTTAAGATTTTATTTATTTATTTGACAGAGAGAAATCACAAGTAAGCAGAGAGGCAGGCAGAGAGAGAGGAGGAAGCAGGCTCCCCGCTGAGCAGAAAGCCCGATGTGGGGCTCGAACCCAGGACCTGGGATCATGACCTGAGCCGAAGGCAGCGGCTTAACCCACTGAGCCACCCAGGCGCCCCTTATTTTTCTTTTCATTTAATCTTCATAGTAACTGTACAAAGTAGTTCATCACCTCTAAGTAAATTTATGTGACGGCCCAAGCTAGTTAAGTGACAGAACTGGGAATAAACCCAGATATGTCAACTCCAGAATTCCTACTCTATTATACCATCACAGCTTTCTCCTTTCTTTATATTACTCTTTTCATTCCTATTGCTATTATTACATGTATTAGACTGTATTACAACCACGTCTACATAGCTATTTTCTCTAGTACTTCTTATGGACAGAAATTATAGATATAATTCAATGTGAATCCCTAACATCTAGCAAGGAGCTAGGTACATGATAAGTTCTCTACATATATTTATCAAAGGAATGACTTTCTCATTACATACATAATACGTAAATCACAGAAAAAGAGAGCCTTTTGGAGTACCTGGCTGGCTCAGTCGGTGGAAAGTGCGACTTTCTACACCCAGCCCCGTGCTGGGTGTAGAGATTACTTAAAAATAAAATCTTAAAAAGAAAAAAAAAAAGGAGAGTCTTTCATTTGACTTTTCCATCTACCATTATTGTTTAAACACCTCAAACCAGGATTGTAGCAAGAAAAGGAAAGAGTAGACTTTTTCCTCCAGTCCTCCCTAGGACACTGTTTATATTTACTCTCTTTAAAGCTTTTTAACTTTTCGCTATTCATTGTATCATCTCCTTAACTGAGAAATCAAAATCATTTGTCTGTTATTTAAATTATCTTTTCCCCCAAAGCATCTAGCACAAAGGCCTCTACATTTTCTTCATAAATAACAAAATAATAGAATTTTAGGTCTAGATACGATCTTAAGGTTTATTTAGGCCCCAATGGTTCGCAAAATCTAAGTTCACAAACTGATTTTACAGTTAGATCCTAGGTCATCTGATTCCTAGTTCAGGGCTCTTTCCATCTCTGTTGAGGAATAAAGCTGCTTCTATAAAAATAAATGAATACATCCAGTTAGAAGTAACAAAAATAATGTTTTGAAATATAAAATGTCAGAAGATACACAACACTGCCTGAAAATGAAGACTATCTAGTGGTCTGCACAGAGGAGATAATAGACTTACCCTGACAATGAAGAGCTCAGCACCAAGCTGCGCAGTTTGTTCTGTCGAAAGCTGCAAGCAAGCAGAAGACAAAGTAAGTCAGTCCAAAAACTCACTAGTGTGAGTTTAATATCATTCACGGCAACAGGATTCAAAGGTCAGACTAAAATCTCTGCTCAACATGGAATTCTGCAATACTGAATGTAGCCTGAATAAACAGGCTGGCAAAGAGACTTACTAACTTTTCTGGCACATAGATTTTGGAGAAAATAGTAACTGCAACGGGAAACAGCTTCCTACAGAAAACTGTTCAATAATGGGAGTTCAGATACCTTGGCAGCCAGGATGGAAATGATAGCAACAGCCATTCTTTGCATGTTTTGATCTTCATGGTTGCACAGCCACTGCATGACAAGCTTGGCTGCTTCAAACCTGAAAACACACAAAGGATTTTCCATGAATGAATTTTGGAGGTGCAGGCAGTTTCAGAGTTCTAGCTGGGAAATGATGCTACAATTCAGGTAGGTGAGAAAGAATGGGAAAATTCTTCTTAACTGATAACAGAATAATTATACTTGAGTGTTTTGGAAATGGTGCCTAACTGTTAATTCTTTTTTTTTTTTTTTTAATATTTAAATTTTTTTCTAGCTGTTAATTCTAACAACACTTTGTAAAGAAACAAGAGTTTGGGAAATATGACCAAAACCATCTGATACTTATCTTCTAGAATTATAACATATTTCTATCCTGTAGTAATTTCTACACTGTACTATTTTCTGGGTCCTTACAGCATCTAGCACAACAGAAATATTCATTTATTCATTCACAAGCATTTACTGAGCCCCTGGTTTGTGCCAGATACTGTTCCTGGTGCTGGAGACAGAGTAGTAAACAAAATAGAAAAATATCTCTACTCTCATAGAGCTTACACTGTAGTGTGGAAGATAGATGATAAATAGGTAAGTAAAATATGTGACATGTACTGTAGAGAAAAAAAAATTAAGCAGGTAAAGGGAGGATATGAAATGTTGATTTAGGTAAGGCTATTAGGAAAGGCCTCACTGAAACTTTTGAGGAAGTAAGAAAGCTGGCTGTGTGGATATCTAGGGGAAAAGTATCCTAGGCAGAGGGTAGGAGACACAACGACTTTGCATTGGGAATATGCCTGGAGGTTTTGAGAGATACCATCGAAGCCAGTGAGAGCTAGAGCAGTGAGAACAAGAGTAGTACTGAGACAAGAGGTCAGAGGTAACAGGAGTGCCAGATCATAAGGTCTTTGTAAAGAATTAGCTTTTACTCCGGAGTGAGACAGGAAACCACAGAAAGATTCTGAGGAGAGATACGACATGAACTGACTTATGTTTTTAATAGGATTATTCTATTAGCTGAGTTTAAAATAAACTTCAACAAGCAAATAAAGAAGCAAAGAGAGCAGTTCAGAGGCTACCATAATAATTTTGGAGAGAAATCACTTTTAGTCTAGTCCAAGAGGTAGAAATGGAAGTGATGAGAAATGGTTGAATTCATGATATATTTGGAAAATAGCTGGATTTGTCAAAGGACTGAATGTGGGGTGTGACATAAGGAGAGAAATCAGGATGACACCAAGGAATATACCTATAATTTCATCTTTCAAGACCTGGCTCAAATATCACTTGTGCTGAGTTTTCCTTGACACGTTTATCATTGCTTTATTACTGCTCCTTAGCATCTGTTTGTAACTCTATCAGAGTTGTAACAAAACAACCATTTGTTTATAACTCTGTCAGAGTGATTATCTGCAGCTTCACATGAATCCTCCATTGGCCCATTGGTTCCTTGAGGTAAAGGACTGTAAACTATTCAGCCCTTTATACCAAGAACCCAATACAGAGCTTCACACATGGATGTTTAATACATGTTGTCTGAATTATATAGATAAAATTACTCCTCTGCGAATTCCTTCAAATTCACTGTTACCTCCTTTCTATTCCCAAGGCCATCTTGGATTCTTTTACAGTAGATTTCTAATGGGTCATTATGCCTCCATTGTTTTCCCTTCAATTTGTGCCTACATATTGGTAATACATAAATCTGTCAGAGAACTTAGGTATGATGTAATTCCTGTACTCACAATATTTCTGGACTCTAACAATGGGCCCATACTTTCAAATCTTTTTTCCTGCCTACCCAATGCTTATTGCAAAATGGACTGCTCATTAGTCCCCAAACATGCCCACAATTGCGATTAAGATAGCCTTATAGTTAAGAGCACAGATTCTGATGCTTCTTGTATTTTGTTTTGTTTTTTTTTACTATTTTATTTATTTATTTGACAGAGATCACAAGTAGGCAGAGAGGCAGGCAGAGAGAGAGAGGAGGAAGCAGGCTCCCTGCGGAGCAGAGAGCCCGATGCGGGGCTCGATCCCAGAACTCTGGGATCATGACCTGAGCTGAAGGCAGAGGCTTTAACCCACTGAGCCACCCAGGCACCCCTGCTTCTTGTATTTTGGAGTTTAAATTCTAGTTCTACCTAATGTTGCTGATAATAAAAAAATATATTATTTTATCACATGAAGCAATGCAGGAAAGTTGTTAAGAAAATCACACATTCTGGAGTCAGCCCGGTTTCAAATATTACTTCTACCACTTACTAACTTTGGGAACCTGGGGCAATTTCCTTAATCTTTCTGAACTTCAATTTTCTCATCTGTAAAATAATAAGATCTATTCAATAGGATTGTTGTGAGGATTAAATAATATTACACATAAAACTTAAGACTTAGTACAGAACTTAGCACAACCAAGCTTTTGATAAAGGTTATTTTTTCTAATATTATTACTAACTTCCTCTGTACCTGTATTTGTGCAGTTCCCATGACATAAAACAATCAATCCAACCTTCTCTCATCTTCAAAGCAATATAGCATGGATGTAAAAAGTAGAGGTTCTGAAGTCATTCTGGATTTAAATCTAAATTCTGCTACTTGCTATCTTATCACCTTGAGAAAGTTACTAAACCTCTCTGTGCCTATGTTTCTTCATCTATAAAATGAAAATTATAAGAATAACAATTTCACAGCACTTTTTTATGGGCTGAATAAGCATATGTAAAACACTCAGCACAGTGCTTGGCAACAGGAATTGCTTTATACAGGTTAGTCATTATCTTTTTATCTCAAATGCCATCAATTATCTTTATTATCTCAAATGCCATCACTAACATGAAATCTTTAATGATCACCAATCAGATGAAATCTTTCCCTCCTCGTTGGGGGGCCCAATGCATTCTGTCATCTTCTTCTATGAAAAATTCTGTCTTCTGTCATACTCATTTTGCATTCATTCATCCATCAAACATCCACTTAAGCACTAGAGACAAAGAGATTAACCAATCACAGTCTCTGACCACAAAGAAGCTCAAATCTAGCAGTGTATTGGCTAGATCAGAGGTAAGTAAACGATAGCCTACATATAGTGATTTTATAGCCATAGGTCCAGCTGGCTATTTTCTGAAGTTTTATTGGAACATAGTAAAACCATTTGTTTATGTATCATCTTCAACTGCTTTAGGAAGTACAATGGCAGAATTAAGTAGCTGCAACAGAGACCCTATGGCTAATGAGCCCAAAATATTATTGGCTAGCCCTTTAAAAGAGGTTTGTCAACCCCTGGATTAGTTGACAATTTTCTTTAGGAAAGTGATTATGTTTAAAAAAAAAAAAGAAAGAAAAGAAAAAGGAAAGTGACTATGTCTTTCTTACATATGACTTCATGTAATCAGTACAGATGTTCAGTATTTATAAAATAAAATTAGTAACCTACATGAGATATATGTAGTTATATTTTTGTCCAAACTATTTGAAATAGTAAATGGAACATCTCATTCCTCAGCTGTGCCAGTACTGTTACACAAATAAATCACAGTAAAATTGCTGCTTGAGAAATATACTTCTCATTAAATCATAAGTATATTTTCTTTTTCAATACCATCTGTAAAAATTGTATTTAAAATAGTAAGATGACAAAAAATCCTTTTTAGCTCTCAAATCACATCTTAGAAAACAAGGGAAAACACTTTTTAAGTTACTTGAATCCAGCTATATAACCTCCCTTAACCTCTATTTAAAAAGTTTCTTCTTGAATTCAGTATCAAATAATAATAATAAGAGGTATGATACAGAGAAAAGAACATGACCTAAAACTAGAAGACTTGAGTCTTTCTAGCCTTGCAGTTACTAGACACAAAATCATGGGCAAGACACTGAGTCTCCATGCCTCAGTTTCTTCAGCCTACAATATTGTATGAATATTCTAAAAACCATAATATAAATTTTTAAGCAAAGGACTATGAAAACAGAGGCCAATCTGCTAACAGGAATGTCAAAGCACTACATCAGAGAAAGTAGAGTTAGCATTCTATAGGATAATGCAGAATCCCATTCACTTGATTAACTATACACGAAGGATATGCCAACTGGCAAGAAATGGCCCAAGACAGAGTTCTAAAATTCCGTTTTGGCCCATTTTAAGTTCTAGGGCTAACACTTGCCTGTTGAATGGAACATCTTGAAGGATCCGGTCACTGCAAAGTGAAAGGAGGCAATTCTTCTGTAACTAAAGAACCAAAGGGAGAAAGAAATTCCTCAATAAAATATTGCTTTGTTATTTTTTAACTAGGTGTAGCCTCTACAAAAAAAGGAAGATCACTGATGAAACACCAATGATTTCTTACAACTTCTGTTCTGCCTCCCTGCTTTTGAAAGATTGACTTCCACAGAACCCAGGTGAGTTCACTTGTGCATATTCTTTGTCTTTTCCATGAGATGAGGTAGGATAATAAATAGAATTAATATCAGCTAATCTCCCTTCCTTCTGGTGGCCTTTGGGTGGGTCCTGCTTTGTCCTCTAACCACCTGGATTCCAGAGGCCATAAAAACCAAAGCCTAGGGGTGCCTGGGTGGCCCAGTTGGTTAAGTGGCCAGCTCTTGATTTCAGCTCAGGTCAAAATCTCAGGGTCCTAGGACTGAGTCCCACAATGGGCTCTGTCAGTGGGGAGTCTGCTTGAGGATTCTCTCCTTCTCCCTCTGTTCCTCCCCATGCTTGCACGCATGTGTGCTCATTCTCTAAAATAAATAAATCAATCTGGAAAAAACCAAAAACCAAAAAAACAAAGCTTAAAGCTTATCCAATTTGGTAACTGTCCTCAATGAGGCTTTACTGATCCAATCACCAATCTGGATTGCCATTTTTTAAAAGATTTTATTTATTTGAGAGAGAGAAAGCACAAGCAGGGGGAGGGACAGAGGGAGAAGAGGCTCCCGGCTGAGCAGGGAGCCCGACGCAGGGCTGATCCCTGGACTCCAGGATCATGACCTGAGCTGAAGGCAGATAGATGCTCAACTGACTGAGCCATCCAGGCACCCCTGGATTGACATTTTTACTTGATTTTTGGCTTATGAGTATTTTTTACTAAGTTGCCAACTAGCTGCTATGTTTTAAGAATGAAAAACATAATTTTTATATTTTCAGTTTTCATCCTGACAATAAGATAGGTTATATACCTACCATATGGCTAGAAGTAGAAAACCCATGTCTTACTCATTTCTGCATGCCAGTACTTGATAGTGCCTGGTCCAGAATAGATGTGTTATGGGATATTTGCTGAAATTATCCAAAGTCAAGATTGAGGTGGAAGATGAGTTTTTTATGGTTTGCACTATTTCCCTCAATATTTGGATTTAAATATTTTCAGGCAGGGAATGTACTCTTTAGTCTTCTACTTCTCTGCTTTCCTATACTCAATCATACCATAAATTTATTACTTTGCAGGCTGCAAAGGCATTTGAATTTCCAGATTTGGTCTACTATATTGAACTCTATGGAGGTAGGAGATGGGTGGGGGACACTAAAAGGACTATTTGAATAGGAATTCCCACATGCTTACCTGCTGGTGATTGGGAAAATGTTCCATGGCTTTGAGCAGCAAATGGGTCACATCAGCCAGGAGTCGAACAGGCATTCCTGCAGCAAGATCCTGCTTAGTTAAGTTAAACACACAGGCGCTTGCTGCAAGTTGTACTGGCAAATTCATAGGGTGGTTTCTCATCCCAGTAACCACAAGCTAGAAAAAAAATTAGTTCTCTTTATTCATGCTATTAATATAAGCCCTCTTAACACAGCAACGTTACTTTGTTGATCTATAACAATTTCTAAGCAGTCTTAAGTTATCTTTTTTATCCTCAGGTGCAAAGAGACTAGGGCATAGCAATCACTTATCAACATGTAGTTCTCACCCACTTGGTCCAGGAAGGTATCAAGTTGTTCATGTCCAGGAATTTTTCTGTAGGGCTAATGAATCTTTTCTATTCACGTTAACTCATCCAGACCTAGTACAGTGCCTTTTATATTCTAAGCACTAAATAAATTCTTACTGAGTTTAGAGTAAACCAGAGGCAAACTTTTCACTTTCAAATTCCAACATTCAGTTTCTTACGAACACTGCTAAAGTCATAGTACAATAAAATCCATTCGCTTCCTTCTGGCCTACATAACTATTTCTCATCTTTTCCTCTCTCCTCAAACCCCAACAAATCCTCCCAATCCTCACTATCAGCTAAAGAACCTCGCTTCCAATTACACGGAGAAAATGGAAACATTCAGAAAAGAATTTCAGATTCTCACTACCGCATGTATCCCCCTTGCCAGTACATAAACATGCATATGCTATGTTCCTATTACCATAAATGATCTTTTTGGGTTCCTCTCTGAAGGTAATCCCTCCATTTACATGTTATATCTTTTGCTTTTTGTCTACTCAAGGACATTGCTTCAGCTGTTCTTCTATCTCCTATATCAAGTTTTTATTGTGTACTGGATCATTCATATCAGCATATAAAAAAGCTGGTTTTTTCTCCCATCTTAAAAAAGAAAAAAAAAAAAAAAAAAAGTTCCTGGGGCGCCCGAGTGGCTCAGTGGGTTAAAGCCTCTGCTCTCAGCTCGGGTCATGATCCCGGGATCCTGGGATCGAGCCCTGCATCAGGCTCTCTACTTGGCGGGGAGCCTGCTTCCTCCTCTCTCTCTGCCTGCCTCTCCACCTACTTGTGATCTCTGTCTGTCAAATAAATTTAAAAAAAAAAAAAAAAAAATCTTAAAAAAAAAAGTTCCTCAGCCAACTACCATCTTTTTCCTTTGCTCTCCTTTGGAACTGAATCCCTTAAAAGAATTTTCTATATTCTTTCATTTCTCTCTGTACCATTCTCTGAATGAATGAATGAGTAAATATTTCAGATCAGGACTAGAGGTTCTTTGTTGCTCAGGTTCACAGTAACCAAAACCAAAACGGGTAATTCATATACCAAGTGCCAATATCTTCTGGTATATATGGAGGGGTGGCCGTGCTGGGGGTAACATCTCAGGGACTGAAATGTTATTGGTTCCTATACAAGCACCCTATTCTGAAAATTTAAGATAATGGGGTGGTTAGGTCATTTCTCTCTGCTACTAACTTACTGTTACTTAACCTCATAGACCTGTAGTTACACAATCTGTAAGATTGTTTTACCCACTAAATGAGGCATCAAATATAATATAGTCCTACACTCACTGATTTCAAATGTGTATTAGGATTATCTTGGGGAATTATTAAATGCAGATTCTTGTACCTCATCTAGCCCTATTGAATCTAAATTTCCTAGAGTGGGGTTCACAAATATGCTTTTACTTTTTTTTTTTTTTAAAGATTCTATTTATTTATTTGAGAGAGAGACAGTGAGAGAGATCATGAGCGAGGAGAAGGTCAGAGAGAGAAGCAGACTCCCCGCGGAGCCGGGAGCCCGATGCGGGACTCGATCCCCGGATTCCGGGATCACAACCTGAGCCGAAGGCAGTCGTCCAACCAACTGAGCCACCCAGGCGTCCCAACAAATATGCTTTTAAAAATAAATAATATTCCAGACTTCTGGTGGACAAAGGACACAATCTGATAAACATGGCCCTAAACAATCAACAAAAATTAAGAATCTTCCTTTCTTGCTCTTCAAAAGCTGTCTTGGTTAAAAGATTTTAATTGGGAAATATCATGAATTAATTATGAAAGCACAGGTGCTTAAAAGTGCATGGGAAGGTGCCTTATGGAATACCAATATTATTTATCTTTAAAAAAGTCTATATGGAAGCAATACAATGCAGTGTTGTGATTCCAGTCATATACTTTCATTTTCTACTGCAGATGGTGAAAAACATCACAGTGGTCACTGGTTTTAGGTAGTTAAATATTAAGTGGAAGGTATTTAACTTCAATAACACTATGCAACTATCTTCTCTCTCATTTATGGCTAACAACTGAAATCATACATCCTCAAACCCATTACCAAAAAAAAAAAAAAAAAAAAAAAAAAATCAAAGACTAAATGCAAATTTTCACCAATTTTCTTCACAAAGCCATCATCTGTATCCAGGGAGATAATTTCAAAGTTTTCATATCCAGTTTCTTATTCTTACCTTTAAAATTTCTGGCTTTGTTTTTTCCATTACATGAGTCAGGCTAAAAAGGTGAAATAGAGCTTCCCGGACAAAGAATGCCCGTTCGCTGTACCGCTTCAATGCTTCTGCAATCTGAGTTTCATTGGCTTCTCCAGACACCTTTGAACATAGCCATAAGATTAGCTTTTAGGATTTCTTCAACCCTCTAACTTTCTCTAGCCAAACATCATTTGTATAGATGGAATCTGGTATAGCTATGTAAGTCTTGAAACAAATGCAAATGACTACTTTCCAACCCACTCAGAAGAGTCATCCTATGAAGGTGTACATATGCTAAAGAGATGTACGTTAGATAGGCTTAGACCCTACGATAAGCCGATGGTTAACATTCTCTATACTGCACCTAAAGTAAATCTTAAGTAAATCTGTCTCTTAAGGTAATTCCTTAATTTCCCTTAACTCATGTTAAAGCTACACTTTTCCCCTGATCTTTCAATAAGCCAAGCTCTTTCCCAGCAAAAGACCATTATATATATATAACTTGCTTACTGAAATCTTCCTTTCTTTGACTAATTTCTACTCATCCTTCCCTATTCAAGTTAAATGACACTTCTTTGGAGAGCCCTTCCCTGACCCACCAATCTAAATCAGGTCCCCATGAAACATCTCCTTCATAACCATTACCATAATCCCTCCATTCAACTGACCCATTCACCACTGTACCCCAATAATTAGCATTATGTATGGTTCAGAATAAGTGCTCAATAAGTATTCATCAAATAACTGTGTTAATTAATTCCCCCAGATTTATCTAGCTCCCATTCAGCACCAAGAGATTCTGTTCAAGGGCACCTGGTTGGCTCAGTTAATAGAGCATGAACCTCAGGGCACCTGGGTGGCTCAGTGGGTTAAAGCCTCTGTCTTCAGCTCAGGTAATGATCCCAGGGTCCTGGGATTGAGCCCCTCACTGAGCCCCGCATTGGGCTCTCTGCTCAGCGGGGAGCCTGCTTCCCCCATCTCTCTCTCTGCGTGCCTCTCTGCCCACTTGTGATCTCTGTCAAATAAATAAAATCTTTAAAAAAAGAAAAAAAAAAAGAAAAAAAAATAGAGCATGAGACTCTTGAGATTGTGAGTTTAAGCCCCATATTGGGTGTAGTATTTAATTTTTTTTAAAGATTTTATTTATTTGAGAGAGAGATAAAGAGAGTGTGTGCTCCTATGCGAGCACAAGTTGGGAGGGGAGGGGCAGAGGGAGAGGGAGAAGGAGACTTCCCTTTGAGCCGGAAGACTGATGTGGGGCTCGATCCTAGGACACTGGGTTATGACCTGAGCCAAAGGCAGCCGCTTAACAACCAAATGATCCACCCAGGCGCCCCTGGGTGTAGTGTTTACTTAAAAGTAAATAAACAGATAGATAGACAGATAGATAGATTCAGTTCAAAATTAGGTCTAAGGAATGCCCCATTTATATAGATTCATACATATATCTTAAACTGTGGTTCACACAGTATTGAGTAACCAAATGCATATAATGGAAAGTGACTTTTTATAAAAGTATTCCAACTGAAAAGTGAAAAATAAATGATTGGAATATCACCACTGATCCCCAATGAATTAATGGAACTAGTGTCAACAACCACTAACATCATAGAAAAACGAAACAAAACAAAACAAAACAAAACCATATATTATATACTTCCTTACTGAAAGAACACAATACCTAAGACTCCTGCCCAAGGGATCAAACTTGAGTCTGATTAAGCCTCCAAATCTAGCTACTAATTTGCAAAAAAATACAACACAGAAATAGGCACCATGAGTATACAATCAGGAATATCCAGGGGCCCCTGGCTGGCTCAGCTGGTAGAGCATGCCACTCTTGATCTCGGGATTGTAAGTTCAAGCTCCACACTGGGTGTAGAGATGACTTTAATAATAACGATAATGGGGGCGCCTGGGTGGCTCAGTGGTTAAATCCTCTGCCTTCGGCTCAGGTCATGATCTCGGGTCCTGGGATCGAGCCCCGCATCGGGCTCTCTGCTCAGTGGGGAGCCTGCTTCCTCCACTCTCTCTCTGCCTGCCTCTCTGCCTACTTGTGATCTCTGTCTGTCGAATAAATAAATAAAATCTTTGAAAAAAAAAAATAATAATAATAATAACGATAATGATGATATTATTTAATATAATTATTATTATTAATTAAGAATATCCAGACTGAGACAAAGTCTACAAGTCCAAAAGGTTGGATCTTTTAACAGACAAATTATAAGGAAAAGAAAGGAAGGGAGAAGGAATCTGTAAAATAAAGGTATTCAAAAGACATATAATTTTGTTTTTTTTAGTGTTTTTTTTTTTTTTAAGATTTTATTTATTTGTCAGGGTGGAGGTGGGGAGAGTGAGCCAGCGAGCACACACACAGGGAGAGCAGCAGGCAGAAGGAGAAGCAGGCTCCCTGCTGAGCAAGGAGCCCAATATAGAACCCAATCCCAGGACCCTGGGATCATGAACTGAGTCAAAGGCAGACTCTTAACTGACTGATCCACCCAGGTATCCCTCAAAGACATATAATTTTAAAAAATGAACAAGATTAACTAAATGCCTAGAGATAAACAGGTCATAAAACTATTAAAAAATAAGGACATTATTATTATTATTTTTTGAAGATTTTATATTTATTTGACAGAGAGAGACACAGCGAGAGAGGGAACAGAGGGGGGGGGGGGGGGAAAGGGAGAAGCAAGCTTCCCGCCGAGCAGGGAGCCTGAGGTAGGACTCGATCCTAGGACCCTGGGATCATGACCCAAGCCGAAGTCAGATGCCCAATGACTGAGCCACCCAGGTGCCCCGATATTATTATTATTAAAGATAGAATAGAGGTTACTTTTATGGAGAAGGAGAGAGCTATGATCAAGATGGGGCACAGAGAAACTTCAGGGTAGCTGAAAGTTCTATTTATTAACCTGAGTAATGGCTTCAAGTGTGTTCACTTTATTTGCATTTCTTTTTTTTACAGGGGCGGAGGGGAGACTGAAGGAGAGGGAGAAAGTCTTAAGCAGGCTCCACACCTGGACAGAGCCCAACATAGGACTCGATCTCACAACCCTGAGATCATGACCTGAGCAGAAATCAAGTCAGATGTTTAACCAACTGAGCCACCAAGGTGCCCCCCTTATTTGCACTTTTTCTTCCTTCCTTCCTTCCTTTCTTTCTCTCTCTCTTCCTTCCTTCCTTCCTTCCTTCCTTTATGGGGAGAGAGAGAGTGTGTGTGCAAGAACAAGCAGCAGAGACAGAAGAAGAAGCAGACTCCCTGATGAGCAGGGAGCCTGATGCAGGGCTCCATCCCAGGACCCTGGGACCATGACCCAAGCCAAAGGCAGATGCCCAAATGACGAGTCACCCAGGCACCCCCGCATTCTTAAGCTACACATTTGTTCTTTATGATCTTGGCACCTGTCTTATCTATAAGAAGGTAAAAAAACAAAAAACAAACAAAAAAAACCAACCTGTCCTTCAGAGTTATAATCTCTTTAAATTGGAAGACTCAGACTACAGTACACATCTGTGCCAATGGACACAAGAGCACATATTAAGTAAGCATTTATAAGACTGTAGAAACAACAATGGAAGTTTCTTTTTTTAAAATAAATATGTATTTTTAACGAATCTGTGACCATTCTTGTGTTTCTCCTCACTCAAACAGCAAACCCACGCCATCCCTGTAACAGCTTAAAGAGCTGAGTGAGGCAAAGGCACCTGGTAGTGCTAGTTGTACGGCTGTCCAAGGACCAGGTCTGTCTATCTACCATGAAGACAACTCTGTGCTCAGAGAAGCCAGCCCTGAAATGCTGTGCTCTCAAGCAGACACCCCACAACCAAGACTAGATGACAGTCATTTTTACGTTCACAAATCACACTAACTGGGTGCTGCCTGGTTGTCAGAAAAACAATAGTTGTCACTTGGACTGTAAAGCACCTTCTCTCTCTGAGGGCAGAACAATGGAAGTTTCTTTACAAATGCTTTTTAAACTATGTGAAGTAGGGGCACGTGGGTGGCTTAGTCAGTTAAGGGTCTGACTTTTCATTTGGCCAGGTCATGATCTCAGGGTCTTGAGATCGAGCCCCATGTGGGGCTCCTTGCTCAGGGCAGAGTCTGCTTGAGATTCCCCTTTCCTCCCCCTCTGCTCCTCCATCTGCTCTCACGCTCTCTAATAAAGGTAAATAAGTAAAATCTTAAAAAAAAAAGAAGAACTGTGAAATATACTACATGCATATTGGTCTTGATTATGTATTCATATATATGTGGGTTATTGAATAATAAAAATTTTCCAGGTGTTCAATTCTTTTTGAATTATCCTGAACTTTTTCTTAGATTTTTCTTAGATTTTTAAAGACACTGAAATACTATGTAAAATAAAAAAGGTTATAAGAGGGAATATGTTTAATGATTTTATCAGTAAGACTTCATTTACCTGTACTTGGTTGATTCAATTGCTTTATAACATCTACATGAAATACAGCCTCAAGTTATCTTTGAATGTAACTTAAAAGAACTTTTGTTACTTGAATGTTAAATATTTTAAACGAATTTCATTGCATGTATGTTTTATTCAGCGATCAATACTTCTCTAGCCAGTGATAAACCCTCATGTCAAGTAGTCTGACTCCTCAAACTACAAGCATCTTCAGTTCAACCAATTTCATATACTAGATGCTAAAAAATCAAGTTATTTATATGTAACGATTTAAAACAGAGATTGGGCACCTGGGTGGCCCAGTCAGTTAAGAATCCAACTCATGGTTTTGGCTTAGGTCATGATCTTGGGGTCATGAGATCATGCCCTGTGTCAGGCTCCATGCTCAGGGTGGAGTCTGCTTAAGACTCTCTCTCCCAGGGGCCCCTGGGTGGTTCAGCGGGTAAAGCCTCTGCCTTTGGCTCAGGTCATGATCCCAGGGTCCTGGGACCGAGCCCCGCATTGGGCTCTCTGCTTGGCAGGAAGCCTGCCTCCCCCCCCTCCTCTGTCTGCCTCTCTGCCTACTTGTGATTTCTGTCAAATAAATAAATACAATCTTAAAAAAAAAAAAAAAAGACTCTCTTTCCTGGGCTCCTGAGTGGCTCAGTCTGCCTTTGGCTCAGATCATGATACCAGGGTCCTGGGATC